GTCTCACTCTCTCCAGTCTCACTCTCTCCTGTCTCACTCTCTCCTGTCTCACTCTCTCCTGTCTCATTCTCTCCTGTCTCACTCTCTCCTGTCTCACTCTGTCCTGTCTCATTCTCTCCTGTCTCACTCTCTCCTGTCTGTGTTGGTCGTTTAATGGTTTTCTTTCCATCTTTCTGACCTTGGATTGTTCTTTCCTGGCTCTATCACGTGGACGCTTCAGCGTCTCCTTTTGTCTGCTGTGAAACGAGGCTCAGCCCTCGCTGGCCTTGACAGAGCTGAACCTGCAGCGTCGACTCCTCCACGAACCGCATTGATGACCAGCGGGAGTCAGACGGGAGGACACGTGGTTCTGTTGGCAGCTGTGTTTGTTGAGTGCTGGAACTCTGCTGCTTTGTGTTTAAGAACTCACAGACACATGTATCTGATTGTGTGCAAAAAGTACGTCTTAATTCAGGTTCAGACTGCACAATATTTCCCTCTCAACCAATCACAGCTCGCGGTCTTTTATGACCTGTGTGATGTCATCGGGAAGGAGGAGCTGGGGAACAAGAATGTAAACAAACATGGCGTCTGTAGCGGTGTGTATTAGGGATGAGCGAGTACACCATCGTCTGTATCTGTTCAACCGACTAAATTATCTGTATTTGTATCCGTTTTGTATCCGTAACATTTTCAACGTTTTTGATGGAGAATGATGAATAGAACTATATTTAATAATGTTATTACAAGTACGTATATTGGCACATTTTACTCATTTAGTACTTATGAAAAGTACTTTATCTATAGCGGGTACTAGTTTCAGCCGAGTAATCATCTCAACCCCAGTGTGTATGATCCATGTCTGTTTCACTTCACCATGTTTACAGGTTAACGCGTTCAGTGCTCCAATCCTGACAGGGATAAAACCACAAACTTTATAACTAAAACAGTTCATAGTCTGAAGAGTTGTTATGAGGCTCAGTGTGGTCGGCTCTGGCCGTCGCCATCTTGGATTTTCTTAGGGGTTCCACAAGGGTCAATTCTTGGACCTTTGCTTTTTATTTGTACATACATGGTCACATGAGAGGAACAGAATAAGGCCAACCCTAGGGCCGTCACACCACTCAGCAACATTATAAATAACACACATACAGTTTATCCTCCATTATGCTGATGATACACTGCTGTTCACTGTCAGAAGGTGTCACTGATTGTTACTGTGGAAACACTGGTCAACATCAGACACTGTATGATTACAGTCCATAGTCTCCATTAGGTCCCCCACAGGTTTGTGCGGAGTCGTTGTGAAGCTCAGTGTGGTCACACCAAATCTGTGTAACACATGGTATCAGCTCAAAGACGGCAATCTCAATTTAGCTGATAAACTGTACAATAAACCAGTGAACACAATAATGTCAAGAAGTTTGTGTAAAACCAGAGATTTTGATGAATTTTGAGCAGATCATTTCCTGTGAATATTGATCAGAGATGAGTTTTCATGATACTTTTATATATTTTTAACTGACTTATATTCTGACAGATTTTCTTCTCATTGTTCTATCGCCTCTTTGGTTTCTAAAGCAGGATGAGGCTTTTGATCAGAGACTGAAGCTCTGTCAGTGTACACTCTGATCAATAATAATAATAATATACACTGTGTTCACATCTTCAAACTTTACATCTTAAATGATCTAAGCTTTAAAAATGACAGTTTCATTTAGTAGATATAGGCCTACTGTGTAATTTTGTAGAACTTAAACTGTAAAATTTTAGTTTTTTTACTCCCCTTAAAATCAAGAAATTAAGCTTTGGCGACCGCTAGTGGTTGGGAACCACTAAACACACTAAAAATTGGTATATGGTAGGAAGAGGCAGAGCTGTTTAATCCATCAGGTTTGTATGAAGTATTGGTAATGTCCATGTTGTAAGGCTCCAGGTCTCAGCGCAGCTCTCTCTCTCCGTTGTAGTTGTGAGTGTGGAGAGTCGGGAGGCCCACCTGAGCTCTCTGGTGGTGGAGGCCGAGCGGCGGGCGGCAGACATGGCAGCTCAGGCGCAGAGAGACGGGCTCTCTCTGGAAGCCTGCCATAAGGACAAACAGCTGAGAGCCTGGGAGTGGAGGAGCAAGCTGTACAAACGCATGAAGACCGGCTTCCAGCACGCACGTGAGTCAGCACCCATGTACACACCCATGGGTGTGATAAAAACTCTGAACATCAAATATGTAACCTTGTAGAAGTTACATTTATATTTGTTTACTTCTATTCATTTGGCAGAAGCTTTGTCCCAACAGTTATTAATAAGAACCAATTCAAGCTGCAGTGAATCAAGGAGAAACCTTTTGAGCCACAAAAGACAGAAGGTTACAGAAAAAAAATCTATAATAATTAAAGCTGCAAGCAGCAATGGACGGATGCTTGCAGTCAGGTGTGCAAGGATGTGCATCAAACACAGCATATCATGTGTATTTTATGTGAATCAGATTATAAGACAATACAGTGCTTTTTTACTGTTGCCAGTAGGTGGCGCAATGATTATGACTGAATATTGTCTGTGTTTAGAACAAGACTTTTATCAAACATGAGGTTTGGGGCCGATTAGACAAAGTTACAACAACTTTTTTGAAAATTCGGTTATCGATGTTGAAATCACTGTCAAGCCACGGACACGCTGATAGACAATACCTCAAGCTTTTGATAACTTTTATAACATCTTTAGACTGCACTGACCAAATCTGAAGTCAATCTGATCCATTCTCTAGGAGGAGAAGTTAAAATGCAAATCCTGGAAATAGCAAAAACTGACTTCCTGTTGGGTTTAGGATGTGGCTCCAAGAGTCATGATACATGTGTCTACTAATTTTCTTATCTAAGTGATTCATTGCAATTTGGAGCCATTTTGCTACTCTGCAAGACCAATATCCTATGTAAAGTTTTGTAACATGTGTGCTGAGTTTTATGAGTTTGGCAGCCTGTTTAGCCCCTCAGAAATGCAACAAATGTAAAATGTAACATCATTATTCGCCATGTCGCCATGGAAACAGTATTCAAAGAAAAGTCATATCAGCATCATAGTTGGGTCTTTTGACCAAATATCAGCTGATTCTGGTGAACCTGCTTGGGATAGTACAATAACAATTCCTTCAGATACAACAGGGTCCTCATAACGAGAGAGAGGTTGCAGACTGACTTCAGATTCTGTGCTGATCAGATTTGATTAACTGGACATTGATTTGAGTTTGATACCATCATAAAACTGATGAACTCAATTTCCTCTACATAAGAAACTAATGAAATAAGAGATGATTGTGATTCTTTATGAAGGAAACATGAGATGAGTTCTGTAGCACGAGGGACTCTGTGCATCCTGCTGCCTGAAAGCTTCTCACATTATTACTTATTACGCTACGTTCGACTCCATAACAGCGTTTT